ATTTCCACAGGAATACACAGCCACTTTTCCACACTCGGGCCGAGCGGTTCTAAGAGCTGCAACAACGGAAAGTTATGTTTTGGCTTGAGAATTTCAGAATTCTGAGAGGCAATGACTGACGTATTTGTATTGCAATCTCTGTTATCAGCCCAACAGTGGAAAATTAAACCATATCCATACCCGCTGGGCTGGATCAGCTTGGAATGGCATCGTTAAGAAATGAGAACAGTTTGGGCCGACGGTGGAAAAGTGACTCGTGATACGGAATTTTGCATGGGACCAAAACAGTGTTAATTTCATCAATGAAGATGACGACAAAAAATATTCGTTAACGAAAAAATTTTCTGTGACTAAGACGAGACGTTGACGAGCTAAAACTAATATCTGATGATAAAAACTATGACGAAATTTATGCCGTGTCTTCGTTAACAAGACGAGACGGGACTCTGTTGAGGACTACCAGACATTCAAAATACATCCTATAGGCTACTGTCTTGTTCTTCAAAATGTGCGTCCCTGTCATTGGATTGCAATCAGATAAGGGGCGTTTGCATATCTAGTCTCAAAAGTTAGTGAAGGCGGGATAGGCGGATAGAAGTGCTCTCTCTCGCGCATGCTCCCCTTCTTCAGTTCTCATATAAAGCGCACGATCAGTTCTCAGTGTTCAAATACACACAAACAGTCCAAATGTCTATTGTGTAGAGCAGGGGTGGCGAACGTCAGTCCTGGAGAGCCGCAGCCCTGCAGAGTTTTGCTTCAACCCTAATCAAACACACCTGAACAAGCTAATCAAGGTCTGAAGGGTTGCTAGAAAGCTACAGGCAGGTGAGTTTTAATTAGGGTTGGAGCTGAACTCTGCAGGGCTGCGGCTCTCCAGGACCGGAGTTCGCCACCGCTGGTGTAGAGTATCATTTTATATAGAGTATAAAATGCATTGCTGTTCTGTTGTAAGTCATCTTAAAGATTCCTAAATGCATCTACTTTCAGAAGGCCAAATAAAGTGCTTTTGCTTTCGCCTAGAAACACACAGCGTCTCCCTGACATGGCTGCTTCAACACTAACTGCAGTTACTGAAACCACGCCTTCTTTCTTTGCGTGCACATTTGGGCGGCATTATGCTAATATTTCCACATAGTGAGGTAGATATGTGGGGGCGTGTTAGAACGAGCCGTTTTAGGGGGGCGTGGCAGAGTCTTAACTTTGATAAAGAATATCTCTATGGTTTTGAGACTTTAGTCTTTGCAACTTCAGGGATCTTATCTATGCACAATCAGCTTGTAACACTCCAAAGAGAAAGGAAAACTTGAAATCGCATCATATGACCCCCTTAAATACAGTCAGTTATGGATTAAGTGAATGTAAACAGGTGGGTTAAAACTGAACGTGTGTAGTATAACATGCATGCCTTCCATCTTAAAGAGACAGCATTCCTAATTAAGTACCTATCCGTGTCTTTAATGTTAACCAACAAAAGATGTTCAATAAATATGTCAAGTAAACCTACTGTATCTGAAGAATGTGTTTAATTTGTCTTATTGTCTTATTCTTCTTCTTTTTCAAAAATTATAAATTATATATATTATATATGAACAACTATAATTTTTATAAGCTGCTCCCTTTTCACAACTGTTAAAGGGATAGTTCACCCAAAACTGAAAATTGTCATCATTTATTCAACTTTTTCCAAATTCAATCCTTGATTCAAATTTCTCATAAGCTTAATTGATTTGGTCTAAAGAGAGAAGAATTAATGACTATTTTTGTTTGAAGACTACATATAAAATAGCTACCAAAATAAATGTTGGTAACTGCAGTTTGGCTAAAAGTAATGACTAAAAGTTGACAAAAATGCAATGGCTTTTCGTCGACTAAAACTAGACTAAAACTATGAAAGACTCAAATGACTAAATGTGACTAAGTCTATTAAAGGGGTCATATGATGCGATTTCAATTTTTCCTTTCTCTTTGGAGTGTTACAAGCTCTTGGTGCATAAAGAAGATCTGTAAAGTTGCAAAGACTAAAGTCTCAAATCCAAAGAGATAGTCTTTATAAAAGTTAAGACTGGTCCACGCCCTCAAAAAACACCTACCTACCTAAGAGTCAACCACGCCTACCTAAAACGGCTCATTCTAAAGATTTGGTAACACTTTTGATTTATACTGACTATGAGAAACGTTGCAAGTATATGTCAACTTATTCTACTAAACCTAAGCTAACAGTCTACTCTGAGAGTTAGTAGACATGTAGTTGCAAGTTAATGAGAATTAGTTGACATGTAGTTGCAAAGTTACTTATAGTTTGTAGAATATCTACAGTGGACTATCAAAATAAAGTGTAACCAATCATATAAACATTTATAATCATTTAAGCCATTTATATACCCGTTTCATTGATTTATCCATTGATTAGTCACTTATATTTTTAAAATATAACATATTTTATATTATATTTTTTCATTGTTTGAAGTTTATTTACTTTTCTGAGATTTAATTATTGTAGAAAGTACATCAAAAGATAAAATTGCAAGAAAAAAACGTAAATAGAAATTTGTTGTTTATAGTCTTATGATTGTGTGGTTTCAAGGGATATTTGTGTTCATTAGTAAGAGACAAGAGAATGTCTCCATTTCAAGGTTTTTAATGTCACGTTGTGAAGCGGTAATTTTCCATTGCTATTGCTTGTGGTATAATAACACTTGTTGTATTTGAAACACGCAACTAAGACTATTCAATAAACTCTGCTCCTTTTTTATCATCACCATTTTGTCGTTTGCTTCTGCTCTTCTCTAGTCAACTTCTTGGCTGATAGAAGATTGTTAATAGAGTATTGGGTACCAAACAAGACTTTTGGGTATTAGACAATTTTGCTGACTAGTTGTTCTGTTACCAGTCAAAACGAATATTTTCTCACAGGATCTGGCATCCGGGACAGGATTTGATATTTCTGGCGTGGAGCCATGATCATGACCTCCCTTTGAATATTTCACACGGAAATATGTAATATTACAGAAATAACGCATTGTTTCACACAGGAATGAAAAACAGCTAATGATATTGAAATCTAAACTTTTTAAAGGTATAATTCCCCAAAAAAATCAATATTCTGTAATTTTTTTTTTGTTCAAAACCTTTACACTGTTGTTTTTGTTCAACGATACATTGAAAAGTTTCAGAAAAATTTTCATAATTCTCTCATAATTTTCCATACAGTGGCAGTTCATAGTGACTACATCTATGACAATCAGGTCATTGTAATTTCTAAGTAAACTGTTCCTTTAAGACAGCCGCAGAGATAAATAAATAGTTCAGTCATGAAACTCTAGATGGCGCATTCTGACGGGGTGTTAACGTAACTGATGATATTCAGAGTTAAATGACTTGGCACAAGCTGATTGGTTCATGCTGCATATGCAGCCAATGAGCTTACTGCCTTGCATTTATATGGCTGGCTAGCATTCACTTGAGATTCCTGCAGCGCGCTTTCAGAGTTTCTCTGAAACCCTCCACCTTCCCCAGCTCCACCTAATGTTGCCTTGGCAACTAACTGAAATAAAACAAATTTATTTTTTTTATAACTAAAATTTAAGAACTAAAATTGCTTATAAACTGATATACACATTAATAAAAATTAAATAGAAATATTTTTTAAAAACTAAATGAGAATATCACATAACAAAAGGACTAAACTAAATATAAAATGAAAACTGAAAATATAAAAATAAAAGCTAACTCAAAACATTAATGAATACTATAACAGTATATAAATAATACAAAAGTAATTTGTAGCTAGTTTTAATGCTACAAATGAGAGAAGTTAGGACGTTAGTTTAGCTAGGATAATGTACAGTAGCTTGTTTACACTATTTGTAAAACAACACTACTAAAATTAATACACTTAAGTTACTAGCATTGCTACTTTTTACTCAATAACCTTTCAACAGGTAATGAGTGTTTAACAAATGTGGTCGATCCCTGATGGAGTCTACTGTCTAACGAACTCGTCTCATTTCATGCTGTTCTTCCTCTCTGCAGCGTCGCCCGATAGAGACAGACATAACTATTGACAACCTGTCACATTAATGCAACTCAGGGTCAGACATTTTAAAACCTTGGAAATGTGCAGAGACAAAACTGTAGTTCAAAGTTTAGATCATTTTCGAGGACTTCTGGTGCAGACCCACAGGAGTTGGGATGATTTGAGAGCTGTGATGACTCACGGCCAGTTACATATATAAAATATTAGGATGGCTTTGTCAAGTCAAATTAATAAGGCAGTCCATATAATGAATATATGCCCATAAAATGCCAAAGTGCTATTTTTATCATCCACAGACAGTAGAGGTCCACTACCATTCCAGCAGTTAAATACCAATGGGTCGTACTGATTCAGATTTAGAGGCTCAGTGGCAAGGTGACATCCTTCAGCTCTTCTACTGCGCTAATTCGGCTCCACTTACAGCGCTACTGCTGCTACTTCTGCTGCTAGAGTCAGTGACGCAAACGTACAATCCCAGCTAAATATTACAATGTGAAAGGACGTGGAACGTGGAAACCAAGCATTAAAATTAGCTGTAGAACCACTGCTACCTAGTCAACTTCAAGTAACTTGTTACTTTGAGTATTAAATAGGAGCTTTACACACCTTTTTTAAGGATCGTGGCACTAGGAAACCAGGGATCAAATACTTGTCAGATATTCCAGATGAATAATTCACCCTACTGTGGCGTAGGCACCAGACACACTCAGTCTCTGCTCTTCAGATTGTGACATGTGTCTCTGAGGAGAGTGTGGATTGTGATATGAGCGCGGGGGAGAGAGGTGCTGTATTTAGAAGCGGGACGATCAGAAGAGCCGAAGGATGTCACCTTGCCACTGAGCCTCTAAATCTGAATCAGTACGACCCATTGGTATTTAACTGCTGGAATGGTAGTGGACCTCTACTGTCTGTGGATGATAAAAAGTTTAAAGTTAAAAAAAACGAACCGTTTCAAATGTTTTATTTCATCCATATTACCTGCTCTCTTTGCCCAAGTGGCACGTCTACCGGTTGGTCGTCGTTGACCTCTCTCTTTGGCCGCACAAACGCAGGAGGAGCGAGCTGATGTGCCTTCTTTAGATCCTCAGGCTCCACCCCCTTTCCATCACGGAGCCGCCCCCAAGCCTCCTGATTGGCCTTATGTGCCTCTCTGGGCGGAGCTGAGGCCTGCTGATTTGGTAATGACCCTGGTTTGCTGTCCTTGTCTTTCAGTTCAGTATGCTCCTTGTTCGCCTGGTGGGATCCATCAGCAGATCCGTCCCCGTTCTCAGCTATGACCTCTTCAGTCGGGGCCCCAGCCGCTGGGGCCGCCCGGTCCTTCAGACCGTCTTTAAATGCTGACACCACCACGCTGCACTTCTGCACCTTCTCCACCTGCTGCTTCTTGGACATCAGTACACCCATGGCTGCAATATAGTAACACAACAAAAGCTATTTTTACCATAAGACATTATTGATTTATATCAGGCTATGCAATCACCAACGCTGGTGTTTTCAGCTGGTTAAGCTTCAAATCCTACATTATATTAATATAGCAAAGAGACAGTTCTCATGCTTGTGCGTTGGTGTTAGCACCCTGTTGCATAACAGATATTAAGGTTGAAAACAAGACATGTTCTATCGACTTTGTCTCTAAATCATTGCTCCGGCAAAATACGCCCACATGCTGGATCAAGCAGATTTTGTGAACCACAGCAAATGTGTTGCAAACCACCTCGCTAGCGTTTTCTTCACACAGATCTCTGATATGATTGATCACTGGCAGGCTTGGTGTGTCTCGTATTGGTCTGCTGCCATCACAGACCATCAATCTTAACTAATGGGAACATGGGATGACTTGTGATTGCAGTGTGAACGGAGAGCAAAACCAATGCAGAGCTGTTCGATCGCAAGATTTTGTGATTCACGATCAGGGGTGTTTGCCATTCAGAACTTCAATTCCAATTTAATTTCTGAAGCGTTTTAGAATTTTAAAAAAATGTCAACATTGATAATAATGAGAAATAGTTCTTGAGCAGCAAATCAGCATATTAGAATGATTTCTTAAGAACCATGTGACACTGAAGTCTGAGCAAAAACTGTGATTTAGCTTGTCCAGACATCAGATCATCTTGAATGCTTGCTCCATCCATTCAGCCTTTAATCAGGGTAATGGTGTGAAACTGCTTCAGTTGGCATTCTCTCGCCTTCTAAACGCAAGGCACAGCATGCTTCTGAATTTCAATGGATATTTCCTTCCCCCATTTATTCTTAACCATCAACCCAAGCTCTGACCCATCACGTTCATCTCTCTCTGCACCCACCTAAACAAGCCACACTGTAATAACACTAAAGGGTGCACCAAGTCAGCAATCTCACAGAAATAAAAGAGTGGAATATCTTTCCGATTAGCTCAAAGGATGCAGTGTATTCTGGGCAACGGCTTTCTCACCAACACAGCTCACTAACAGGCCAGCTATATTTCCCTGAAAAATTTAGACGACTCTCCTGAAAAAGAAATGAAGATGGAGGCGGAGGGGAGACTGTATGAAAACTCACATATGTACACGGCTCTGCTGTCTCTGTGTCTCTATGCTTGGATTTTGACACAGACTCAGTGCTGCCGATCACATGGTCCTGAACTTAAGCAGAAATTTGCGTCACTTAATAGTTTGAGTCAATTAATAGCTGAGTTTACCTATATATTAACCATTTAAAAAATAAATAAATCTAAAAATATATATCGTTTCACAGAAGAGAAATGTGTTAGTTTTACTTTTTATATAGACGGACGGACGGACGGACAGATAGATAGATAGATAGATAGATCCTTTATGATAATCAAAGGGGTCATATGATGCGATTTCAAGTTTTCCTTTCTCTTTGGAGTGTTACAAGCTGTTCGTGAATAGATAAGATCCCTAAAGTTGCAAAGACTAAAGTCTCAAACCCAAAGAGATATTCTTTATAAAAGTTAAGACTCGTCCACGCCCTCCTAAATCTCCTCGTTCTAACACGCCCCCACATGTCTACGTCACTGTGTGGGACGATTTGCCTAACGCCGCCCAAATGTTCACGCAAAGAAAGAAGGCATAACTTTATTGTTGCTGCCGCCGCCATGCTGTGAAGACGCTCTGTGTTTCGTTGCAAAAGCGAAACTACTTTGTTTGGTCTTCCAAAAGAGGACACGACTAGAAATCAGTGGTTAAGTTGTATTTACAACACTGTTCCAGAACACTTCAACCCAAATATTCAGATGTTTGCAATGCATTTGATGGAGGACTGTTTCCTGATCCTGGTAGAGTAACTACAATGCACGCTGTTCTGACTCACAGCCTATAAGTACATTTTCATATTTAAAGAATTTGCCACTGATGATTCAATGAGACTGATGAGCTTTGAAAAATTCGAGGCGTTTCAGAAAGGCGGGTCATAGAGGAGAAACAATAATGTACAGTATGTGGAAAATAATGTGTTTTTTTAACCTTAAACCGCATAAATACATTTCATTACACCAAATACACAAAATAATGTTCTTTTTAGCAACATCATATTATCCCTTTAAATCACATTCATCCTGAGAAGCACTGGTTATTAGCTGTGCTTGTTTTCAATATCATGTTGACATATATGTGAAATGTGTGAAATCGTGTCTCATAAAGTGAGGCTGTGAATTGGAGTTTATAGGCATTTTATGTGAGGACACCGGGGACATCGTGGCGTCTAATTATCATTCTGTGTGAGGCATCTGTCTGCACAGATGTTCAGCAGAATATGTCTTAGTGCATTTACTTCATATAAAGGTAACCATTGCTTCTTCTAAGTGTTCAATTAAATTAAATTTCTCCCTGTCCTTATGACAATCTGCAGATAAAGTCAACTGAGGCAATAATCAAACTTGCTCACCTAAAATATTCACTCTCCCTCTTATATATTAAACTTTGTTTTAGTGAACCAGCTTATTTAGAAAGTTAATTTAAATGAAGAATGAAGAAAAGATCTATCTATCTATCTATCCATCCATCCATCCATCTATATATTGTTATATTGTTCTATCATTCTATCTATTGTTCTATCTATCTATTGTTTTATCATTCTATCATTCTGTCTATCGTTCTATCTATCTATTGTTTTATCATTCTATTATTCTATCTATTGTTCTATCTATCCCTGCACAGAGATTTGTGTGGTATCTTTTTCCAATATACCAAACGATTGATTTTTTTTTAAAATAACAATAAAAAGAAAGAATAATAGCTACAATACATCCTTTTATTAGTAACTGCGAGAGAAATAGAGATGCTGATTTGTGAGCAAATAATTTCTTTGAGTCAGTTCTTTTTAATTTGGTTCAGAAAGGCTGTCAGAATGAATCATTCGCGAATCTGACTAATCCGAATTCATGAATGAATTCAGAAAATGCTCACAAAATTGAAAATCCTGTACATTCTTGAAAACATCTCCATTGTTGAAGAAAGAAATTCATGCTGCAACACGAAGGTGACTAAATGAACACAGAAAGTTCTTTTTTGGGGTGAACTGTCCCTTTAAATTATGAGTAACTTGTAGTGTTGTGGGCTGCAGTTTCGATCATTGAAACATTTCAGAAGCTACACTTACAGCAAAACTTCTGAATGCTAATGTTTCAGATGCATGGCACCTACATGTTCACCAGCCTTTGTTTTTTCCTCTAATATTATTGTAATACCATGTTTCACAAATCGGCTTCGCACTGTCAAGCTGTCGCTGACTTGAATCCCAACAAACCCTGCCTTTCATGCGCTGCTCCTGTGGGGAACCGTTCTGTGAATAGGACAGCGACAAAGCATTCTTTTTTCCATGGGAATGCTTCCCATTGACGTGAATATCCCATCCCCAAAAGCCTGGAACTAATCACACTAACGAGTTCACTAAGGCCACCTTCTGCCAGTGATTGGAATCACAAACACCCACCAAGAAAAAAAAAAAAAAGCAGCCAAACTTTATTCAAAGATAAAATCGCCAACGCTCTCTGTAAACACTAATGAGCAACAAAGTGATAAAACACATAATCTGTACAATGTGGGCTTGTGCTCTTTGGGAACATTTATGAACGCATATATGCCATCGCATCCCGTAATGCCTCACCTTGGACACTCAGTGGCCCAAAAGCAAAGTGTGCTGGCCAAACTATGAGTACGGGGAGTTGAGATTCCTCTCGCATGCTGGCCTATGGGCTCGGAGGCGTCGCAATGTGGAGGAATTTGAATGTAAATGCCTCTAGAGAGAGGAGCCCCCACATTGGCATTCAGTTCCTGTCAGGCACTGAGTCTGTGCCAGGCACTCTTCTGAGAGGAGGTGACAATGAGAGCTGTGAGAGAGACGAGGGAACCTGGAGTGTCTGCTGGGTTCCAGAGCTGACACACATGGTGCATTGTGGGTAGGATGGCAGACAGGAGAGAACCGGGCATTAAAAGGTGGAGGAGGGTTCTGAAGAAGTAGGACAGGGCTAATAGCGGGGGTTCATGTCAAATAGATCAACTGAAGCAATACTAATATTGAACCATAACAAATAGCAAGCATGTACGGTACTACAAAGGCCAAGAATAGAATATGATGAAATATATCAAATGGTAAATAACAGAAAAAGTGTCATAAACATGCAAGGTGTGTTGGTGACTTGGAAAAAGTTCAGAAGGTCAAATACAGAACGTTCAAATTCAGACACTCCTGTTAACCTATATGTTTGGATTAGATCAGCTTTATTTTCATTATGTTCTCTAGTATTATTTTTATTAGCATTAGAATTATCAATAATATAGTTTCTTACATGAAGAAAAACAAATCATTATTATCATTATCACTGTCATCAAGCTCTGGTTAAATCAGCTTTATATTCATATAACAAATTATTATTATTATAGATGATACTCAAGTCAAGATAGTCAAAAAAAATATTAACATCACTGAATCAACCTAAATACATTAACTGATACCAACAACTTATATTTGTGTGAGTTAAATCAAGCAGAAATAGCTTGTTAGGGAAATTAATAATAATAATGATAGGAAAATATTATTGTTATTGTTATTGTTGTTGTTGTTGATAGTATAGTAGAAGTAGTACTAGTATAATTTATTGCTATTACTAGTATTATTATTTTGCAGGTAGTAATATTTATATTGCTCCTTAAATATGAAATAATATTACTTACAATATTTATAAAACATTGTTACATTTGGTAATATAAAATATTTAAAATCAGATTATTAAGAATTTTTAATAATAATGATGATGTTTGTTGTTGTTGTTATTTTTGATGATGACGATGCACTTATTATTATTTATTATTATGCAGGTAGTAATACCATAATAATGCTCTTCAAATCTCAAATATTATTACTTACAATATTTTACATCTAGTAATAAAAATAATACTATTTACTATTAATATGAATGATTAAAATAGTATTATCTAAACATAAATAAATCTATACATTGACTGTTTAAATTCCATAGAATCTATAGAAATGTATCTAAATGATGTTCTGTAAAATTCTACAGCCTCATCATTTTCCCCAAATGTGCGACTTTTCTGCTCGCAGGCACCTGACTTCCGCTCCTCAATGACTACATAACACCCTGCTCGCTCCTGGACTGTGACGTCAGAAGTGATGCACAAGGGTCTCACAAAGAGACTGCAATTGATCCAGAAAAACTTACCTCTGCAGTGCTGCTCAAAGGAGCGTGTACACTTCGCCACGCACAAGTTATCGTGTGAAACATCTGACTGCACAGCCAACATTGTAAATACGTCACGTGCAACATTCAGTGTCATTGTAACAAAAGTTATTGCGTAAAGTCTGGCAGCTGGCTATCAAACCCCAGCCTCATTACATTTCACAGTGGAAAATGATGCAATATAATGCATGGCTCTCATCCACACCCGCTTAAACAGCACTGACCTAGATCGGGTGTTACAGACGGGGTATTTTTCTACACCCTCATAAAACTGATGCATGAATGATCCGTCTCTTGACATTTACGTCCATGCAAGTTGCGTGCGTTTATGACCAGCAATTTCAATGCATGTTCTATGTTGCATTCAATGCACGTCCTGCAAGCTTTTCTAAATGTGGACTGTAAAAATCACAACTGTCTTGTTTAGTTAGTACCTATAGTTGAAACTATACCTGAAGGAAATGGGATGGTGCTCCGGTACTTGGGACTCGATTCCTTCTGCTCCTCTCACGCGCTGCCAGCAGTCATTTCAAGGTTTGCTTTCGTCAGTGAAGGCTATGCGTGTGTGATCGCGGCGGTCAGTGTACAGTATGTAACCCCGTCAAACAAATATTCCGCAGCCGAGCAAACAGCGTTGTTTTGAGGCACGAGCTGAGGGCGCGGAGGCTGGACAGCTCCGGTGCTGAATTCTGGAGTGTAACTTTGCTCTGGAGACCGTACAGCTCGCGTAAATAAACACAGCCCTGGTAAAAGTTGTGTCTGCTGCTTCTGCTGACTAGCCCACTAGATTCGCGAGGGTCCAGTGTTCCTCGAGCCTCTTCGTGGAACTTGTTTTCAGCCTGCGAAAGGAGACGTTTCATTGGTCTGTTCAAATGACGTTGGCACTAGGAAATGAGATGAGCCTATACACGGAATGTGGATGCAAAACTGCTTTAATGAACATACACCATTGATTTTCGGGGGTTGTAATCATTACATTACAATATTTTCACTAATCAGTAAAGAATATCTAGACAACAGGGTGTGCATTATACTTACAATATACAGTTCTGGCTACAAAAACTAGGCATATTAATTTATTAATTATATATTGTTCATTTGACATACTTATGCCCGATAGCGGGGCATGTAGTAGCATTATATGAAGTAAGTTGTCTTAAACCGACCTTAGGGGAGCGCCACATTTAATCGTTGGCAGGAACGAAAACGAGGCTGTGAGGCCTCATGAAAATGTGTACAAATAGTACACCAAATAAAAACAGAAAATCGTGGAATTGATACGCAAAAATTGACTTTGGCGAGCATTTGATACGCACGTGTTTGGCGTGCAAATAACACCGTTTTCGCGTACATATGACACGCATCTACCCCACAACCCTAATCCTACCAATTGCGTATCATATGCACGCCAAAGTCCATTTCTGCGTATAAACAGTATGCCAAATCGAAACATAAACTCGTGCTATTGATACGCACTTTCATGAGATCGGGTTGTTCGTGATCTAGGACCTTACAGTGCGTGTCAATGTAAAGTCTAGTCTTCACAGCCTCGTTTTCATCCGCTTTAAAATCAATATGGCAATATGAAGGTCAGCTAAATTTAAACAATAAAACAATTGTGAAAAACAAAATTCTTGAATAAAAACAAAGTTAAAGTCAATACAAACAAAAATATCAAAACATTGTTTTGGCAAATAGATATTGCTAATAATGAGTTACATAAATTTACATAACATACAAAACATGTGACAACTTGCCCCAATCTTACAAATATTAAACATCCTTGTCTGTCCAACTCCAAAAATCTGTTAAATTTAATGTGCAATTTTACCAGAGTGCTCAGAATTTCTCATGGGACCAATCAGAATCAAGTATTCCAGAGAGCTCAAACGTAATAAAAGTTCATAATATCATGAAATATAGGCTAATTAACCTTTATTTTACAAAATACTGACAAAACTCACTTTCTGATCTTCAAAGTTTTTTTCAAAGTTAATTTTGATGTTTATAGTAAAAAATATTAACAAGGTTTTAGATATGTTTACATATAGTATGTATAAGGGAAGTGATAATTTAGGCGCTGTAACTGGTAACATTTATATTTTTTATATTACATATATTTTACCTTATAGCATTTAGCCTAAACAGTCCTGCAGCATGACAAATTAATTTTTTAAGTAATTCCTGGTTGTGGCTAGAAGGGATACAGCTAAACCCGGAAGCTAACAATATATTAAATTTGCTACCTATTAGATTGTGTTTTATTAACGTCTACACCTACCCCCAACACTGTTGTACAGTGTGACAAAAATGATGCTATACTGATGTGCGCATGCCAAGTAGCATGCCATTTTAGCTGTATCCCTTCTAACCTTAACTGTAATTCCTGTCTAAATAATATGAGGTCTTACAATCTGTATGTAATAATAATTCAGTCAAAATATCAATAATAATAATAACAAAAAATATATCGATCTATCACCAATAATCATCATGTGCAAAATTAGGTTGAGGCTCTACCAAATAAGGCTTGAATAATGAAATAATGATCCAAACACCCCTAATTTGTCCCATTTTGTTACGACCACCAACATTTCATGGGATTCTTTCTGACGCAATAAATGAATCCATACACCTTCACCTTCTCAAATGCCTATGGACAGTCAATCCTGCATAGGTAGTTATGTTCAACACTTCCCAGTATGAGATCCCAGTGCATGCTGGGTCAAATGGAGACACATACATAATTAATGCTGAGGTAAATGCACATTAAACAATGGATACCCTAGAGACTACTACACCTTACTGCCAAAAAGGAAAGAAAGAGAAGATTGTGTGCTTATAAATTAGACCCTGTAGCAAGCCCAAACTCATGTTCGAATGAATGTTACTGTTATTGATATTACCGGCAAAATGGAGAGGCTAATGAGGCTTTGTATGGGGCATTTTAGCTGATAATTAAAAGGCCTCTGGGGCTACTTTATGTCACTTTTGAAAAAATAAATAGACCATTGTCAGGGTAGCGCCATATAACATTTTTGACAGGAATGAAAATGAGGCTGTGAGGGACTGAAATACAGTGCATTCAATGGACTGTACTGTTGCTAAACAACATACTGATTGTTCAGCTGATGAAACGTATTTCCAAAAAAAAAAAAAAAAAAACTTTCAGTAGACAAAAACTACATAAAGCAGTTTTGAAAGTTGTGAATTCGGAAGATTTTAATGATTTAGGACCTTTAAACAGTATGGTGTCTATAAAGTCCATAAAGAACTAACAGATGGTAGCAAGCTACAAGGATTTAAAGTTGTATGGAAAAGTTCTTTGGCGTAGGCCTCGTCCTTTGTCCAAATCCTGGGAATGCGCATTCAGCTGGTCCTGCCTGATGAAGGCAGGGGAGGAGCTTACCCCGTTGAACAAACAAGGACCAACCTGGTGGTTTTTGGGAGAATAGAGGGGAACATCAGCGTCATCAACTTCGCTAATTACCTGTAATGCGTTACCTCCAACACTTTTTATATACTCCAAGTGTCAAGCAGTGATTAGCCAGAGCTAATAGTTATGAATGAATGACGTGGCATTAGAGTCTTCCTGGTAGAACCTTTTCTGAAGCTTTCGTATTCAGTCATCCCTGATTTTCTTTAAAAACAAAGTAAAAAAAAAACAAGGTTATGAGGCACTTAGAATGGAAATTAATGCGGGAGCAATTTTGGAGGATTTATAAGCACTTACATTAATTCTTCTCATAAAATGTGTGGGAATGTAAATTTGTTCTTGTTATTTTTCTGGTTGTTTTAAAGGTTTTAGGAGGTATGTTGTCATGTCAATGGAATTGAATATTTGAATATTAAGCAATGTTTCCCACTAACATCATGTTAGTGGTGCAGTATGTAATAATGATAACAAGTGGTTGAAATAAGTATTCGGTCTAAATTCCAAATATTGTTTCTCCTGCCCCCTCCTCCACAGACTCGATGCCCACACGGGTTGTCAGATTGAGGACACACAACATGAATGAGCGCAACTGACAATGGAAGGCGATAAAACTACTGATGAGTTGTTTTAATATGCCTGTGTTCATAGAGCTTTTTAGATAGATGCCGAGATTTTTTAGGTTGGGTAGAATCTGCGAACTTTGATATAGTTAATTTGCTCGCTTCCGTGGCTGCAGTATGCTGTGTTTTGTGCAAACCTAGGCTGTCAAAATATTACTGGGTAAACTGTAAGTGATCACACAGACCAAAACAAAAACAGACATGCCGACACAGAATGTACATTTTCAAAGTAAAATAACTGTTCCTGTAGAGCTTGTTTTTAGGTTGTGTAACAAAAATCCAATGTTAAGTCAACATCAAATTGGCATCAAATACTGACGTCAGCCCGATTTTCATTTTTGAAGCTGGTATGTTTTATTTTTGAAATCGTATGTTTCTAATAAGTAACTAGATACATAGCTTGGGGTGTGATTGTGTGAAGTTTATATTGTCAAGTTATTTTTACCAATTGAAAAACCCTATTGTAAATAGTAAAATCTCAAAGAAACCAGTAGCGAATTTTAGTCTTCCGGGTTCTGACATCATCCCTGCACCACCCTATTGTCTCCATTTACTTCCATTGTAAATGCCTCACTGTAACCCAGATTTTAGCTATTTTTTAAGAAAAGGCTTTAAAATAAAAAATCATCATCTATGATAGCTACACCAAAATGTTCAGCTTATACATTTTAGTGGAAAGTCGTTGTTTGTTGTCATTCTATGTGTCTAAATTTGATTAGTTTGCCTTTGTATTTGCTTCATTTTTCGATGCCCACACGGGTTGTCAGATTGAGGACACACAACATGAATGAGCGCAACTGACAATGGAAGGCGATAAAACTACTGATGAGTTGTTTTAATATGCCTGTGTTCATAGAGCTTTTTAGATAGATGCCGAGATTTTTTAGGTTGGGTAGAATCTGCGAACTTTGATATAGTTAATTTGCTCGCTTCCGTGGCTGCAGTATGCTGTGTTTTGTGCAAACCTAGGCTGTCAAAATATTACTGGGTAAACTGTAAGTGATCACACAGACCAAAACAAAAACAGACATGCCGACACAGAATGTACATTTTCAAAGTAAAATAACTGTTCCTGTAGAGCTTGTGTAACAAAAATCCAATGTTAAGTCAACATCAAATTGCCATCAAATACTGACGTCAGCCCGATTTTCATTTTTGAAGCTGGTATGTTTTATTTTTGAAATCGTATGTTTCTAATAAGTAACTAGATACATAGCTTGGGGTGTGATTGTGTGAAGTTTATATTGTCAAGTTATTTTTACCAATTGAAAAACCCTATTGTAAATAGTAAAATCTTAAAGAAACCAGTAGCGAATTTTAGTCTTCCGGGTTCTGACATCATCCCTGCACCACCCTATTGTCTCCATTTACTTCCATTGTAAATGCCTCACTGTAACCCAGATTTTAGCTATTTTTTAAGAAAAGGCTTTAAAATAAAAAATCATCATCTATGATAGCTACACCAAAATGTTCAGCTTATACATTTTAGTGGAAAGTCGTTGTTTGTTGTCATTCTATGTGTCTAAATTTGATTAGTTTGCCTTTGTATTTGCTTCATTTTAGAATATGACACACGATCAATAGCTGGTTATGTTTTTGTGTTTTCTTGTGGCAAAGAAAGCACTTCATTTTCAAGTTCATATTGGGTGAAAAGATGTCATAAACACTTCAAGGGCAGCCAAACTTCACTCTTTCAACAAGTGCTTCATGAACCCTTTAATATAGACAAATGTTCCTGACAAGAGCAGAGGCA